CGTGACAGCAGGGTGACGGCCGAGTTGAGTTCAATGGACCCGGTCAGGCGGGATCATCGGACGAGACAGAGAGAGAGTACAGAGGAAGCGGAGGATGGAACGGACGGCGAAGGGAGCAGTGAGTCGGAGAGCAGTGATGGGAGTGATGGTGAGGGTGTTAGTGTTGTGCGTAGGTTTCGTGGTAGCAAGTCTTCAGTGTACAATCATCTGCTAGCTAGTCCTGATTGTTGCAATTCGTATTCCGACTCTTCGTTCACTGTATTGTGCCGTGGTCGTCATGGTTATGGACTAAAGTTAAAAGTGTTGGAAGCTATCTATCAGCGTCTGTATAAGCCTAATTTGTGTGTGCAGAAAGATAGTATAATTGGGTTGAAATTGTTCAAGTAACGTGTCATGTTTAGTGCGGCCAAGCTTGGCCGTTAATGTTCTAGGTGTAATGTACTGCTGTTATGTGTTATCACGTTGTCCTTCCTTTTTCTTTTGTTTGTTCATTTCTCGCTTTGATTGTTAAAATTCACGCTTGTAAATTTCACTGCTGTTGCTCTTAGTGTTATTTCTCTAACTTAGATTTTCTATAATAGTTCAATTTTTGTTTCAGTGTCCTTTAGTACAACGACGATTCCTGATGAGTGTTGCACGAAAACTTGTTTGAATCCATATTTTTTTCTCTACACCATTTCTTCATATTTTCATCGTTTTATTGCACTTCGATGCATCGTCTCCACCGTTTTTACATTGCATGAATAAAGTACACAAATGTCGGCTCCCCTAATTATTTTATTGATTGCGGTTATCAAATTATTGTCTCCTCGCCGTGTCTAATGAATAGAAGAAGTAATGTTTTCTCTTTTCCATGTTGATCTCTAGCATACATGGGCACCTTGGTATGGGGATACTCATGTAACATTTTGTTGTACTTACATGTACTTCAAATACTTCAAATACATGTACATGTATAGCCATTTGCAAGTACGAAACAAGCACAATTTTCCGAGCATTGAGGCTCCATAAGTACAACAAAGTGAAAATGTATCCCCGCGTGCCAAAGCATAATTTTCCGGACGTCTGCACAGCGGAAGATCCAGGCACGGAGTGTGAGGATTTTGCGAGCATAATGCGAGAATCCATGACAGCATAATTCCATGATTTCGCGAGTATAATCCGCCGGAGCCTACCCATGCTGTGAACCTTGTCACGCCCATTTCCGTGCTCTCTCGAAAGCGTCCAAGTATTCAAAATAGGTCACTTTTTTATCTGGTCACCAATGGTCAATCCTTTCTATTTTTGTGTAAGATTTTCTCTGATCAAATCTTATCCTACTGGTACCTAATGTTCTGCAAGGATGTTAGGAAATGATCTTCTCGACATCAAATCGGTCAGTTACACTCCGTGTTTTCGGTTTTTCAGCAGGGTTCTTTTTCGCGCAGATCTATCTGTAACATATTCAGTTACTAGTACCTTCGGTGATTTCTTTCACTTGTGATTTCTTTCTTCTCCACTCCCCTCCCCTCCCCTCCCCATTACTATTATTATTAAATTTGTCATATCGCTCGCATGTATAAAAGAAGGCGCCATCAGCTGCTTGTGTTGCGACTTTAAATAAAATTCAGCAACAACAAGACTACTGTACTACTCGTACACCCGCACCAGAGATGAAGGCGACAGCGCCAGACATCAATACGTTGTTAATACCGTACAACATGTTGTACGGTATAATGATGTCGTATAGCATGTCGTACAACAGTGCGATGGCATTGTGGGAGCAACCATGTACCAGCGATCCCTTGGGAACGATGAACATTACAACAGTCTTATTGTGAGTGATAGTCAGGCCAAGTTTCTGAAGATCAGAGTAGCGAGTGCTATCCCGAGCATTTGTTAGCATAACAAAAGCATAGACAGGATGCGTATTATAGGAGACCCAAGTAGTTAGTTGTTGAAGATCAGTAGTCATTGCTGATAACGTGCAGAAAAACTAAATCCGCAGATTCTTTTGCCGTCGGACAGGATGCGTATTATAGGAGACTGTAAAGTTATGTAATGTGCTCTACAGCAGGGAGTCGTATTTTACGACTCCCTGCTCTACAGGCAACCATGCATTCGCCCGTCAGAAACAACAAGCACGCTATCAAGGTAAGGACATTGTTGTATTATTGTATTGTATCGTATTGTATGATGCAGAATTTATTTTACCTCATTGGCTCAACAGGCCAATGTATTACTACAACGAGGCCAGAAAATCCGATTATAAGGAGATAAAAGGAAAAGAAGGAGCAAACCAGAAGTAGACGAAGTGAGAGAAAATAACAATCCCCAATAAATTCTGCAATAATTACTTTTGCCTATTAAACTCATATTCAAACTGATTGAAACGTTTTTGCAATACATGTACATGTACAATTATTAAATACATGTACACAGAAGCCTTGCTTGGTAGTCTAACATGTTTTTCGATTTTGACAGCATGTTACATGCCAACCGGGTTATGGTTGTAGTCAGG